GTAAGTGGTTGGTAAGGTGTCTGTAAATGGTTGGTAAGGTGTCTGTAAATGGTTGGTAAGGTGTCAGTAAGTGGTTGGTAAGGTGTCTGTAAGTGGTTGATAAGGTGTCTGTAAGTGGTTAGTAAGGTGTCTGTAAATGGTTGGTAAGGTGTCAGTAAGCGGTTTGTAAGGTGTCTGTAAGTGGTTTGTAAGGTATCAGTAAGTGGTTTGTAAGGTGTCTATATTTGGTTTAAAAAGTACCAGGAAGTGGTTGATAATGTGTAGTTTTCTTTCTTCTAGTGGACTGGTAAATCAAAAAATCATGGCAACAGCATTATAAGACTTGGAATCAAAGGTTGTGGAAAAACGGACTGCCTTCTTTTCAAAGTTGTCAGTGGTCTAATAAGCTACCCATGTGAGTTAAAAAATACAGCCAACTTAACCCTTCACTGGGTCTGTATTAAATCTGATTTTATTAATAGGTTCACTTCCTACACCAATACCAAGTACTCCTGAAACSACTGCTGCAACAACTGTCATATCTACAATGACTTCTTCATATCCTGTAACAAATGATTCTGTAGTTCAAAATCTGTCTAGTTATACTACCATGAAGAAGCCTTCCCAGAGGCCTACAGTGGTGGTTRATAAGGATAAACATGGGTCCTCATCTGATGGCGTATCATGGATCATCATAGGACCTGTTATTGGTGTTATAATCGTGYTAACTGTGTGCGTTATTGTAATGGTCTTGTGTTTTTGGAGAATATGGAAGAAAAAGTAAGTATGTTTTTAGAATGAAGACCATTCTTGTACCCAGTATCGTTCTCAGTTTCCCAACTGAAAGTTGAAGGCTGTGTGTGCAATGAATGGAGTCTTTGATTTTATTGGTTCAAGAATTCTCATGTGCATTCATCATTCATCCAAAGTTTCTCTTGTCTCATTTTTTTATTTCTTTCCCCTTAGATTAAAGAACAATTATCATAATAGTGGTACGTAGATAATCAAATTTTGTTAACTATGAATAAACATATATTTGGAGTGAGTCTGCWTACAGAAATATACCAGTATGCATTCTAATAGCAAAAATGTATCACTTTCTTAAGTGACACATAACATTTTTAATCCTTTTGCTCCAGAGTGTGTTATATTACATTTACGTGTACACATTTTTTATGTCATTATCTTTAAGTTTCTTTCTCCTTTTTTGCAGCAACATCCTCGTCATTGTTCATTCAGACTCCCTCATCTKCAAGAGAGGTGGCTTATACTGCCCCACACCACCCCTACCAAGACTTAAAGCCTCCTTTYACGGGTTTTCCCCCAGGAGTCTATCAACCATTGAGCCACAAAACAAAAGAAGGTATCCACGTTTTGTTTTTTTTTATAATTAATTTTGCAGTATCACAGTGCTGTACTATCTGTTTTCTAAGTTAAAAAATGTGCTTATTTCCTACATGTAGATGCATCAGGGTATTTGCTGCCAGTCTTACCCTCYGCAGAAACATCTAGAGACTCGGACCCCGAACCAATATACAATGAGATAGGCAGCCCGAGAACACTACCAACTTATGACTATGCACTGCCTGAGAACACAGTACGGTTGTCAGTGCATTCCCTTAATGATGCTAACTCAAATGAACCAGCTTATGTRGGACGGCCTTCTAAAGAACAAGAGGGACCAAATTCAAATGGTGCACCYAAAGGGGTATATGCAGAACCTATACAAAATGGTTCCTTAGATGAAGTTGAKGGAGCAGGGTATCTAGAGCTAAGTGGTGTGGATTCAAGAAAACCCRCAGTGATTAATACTTATCAAGAGCCCATGCCRTTGAGGCCCCAAGGCCATAATCAGAGAGGGCCCTTAGGTGAAGGACAGGGARCACCTTCAACAATTGGTCCTTATMAAGCCCTAGAAGTACCTAGCAATCCAGGATATGAACCATTGAGATTGTCACCTATTCAGGAAGGTGGAAATGATACAACGGCATGAATTKTGAGTTCTCTTTTCCCATTTCAGCTGTTACTTTTTGATAAACATGCTCAGTACGCAATTTGTGTAAATATCAATAACATAATTATAGATAATTGATATCATGAATTAATATTTATATTGTTAAACTTGGCAAAATAAAAACATTTCTACCAACAAACATTGTATTGAAATGATTTTGACTTGATACACCTGTATATAACTTTATGTGTATTTTATTTAACTTTGAAAGCTTTGGTTTATAAAATGTATTAAAATGTACCTTATCTCTTAAATTAATTTTATAATAGTAAAAATTTCACTATAAAATGTATATAAGTATTTTTTTTATTATTAGAAAATGGTAGCCTTGAGCCTGTGTTGCATTAACCTTCTTGCAAAAGCCAATTGTTGGCTGATAATAAAACGAGCTGAGAACCAAATTTCTTTTTAAATTTTTTCTTAATTTTAATTTCTTTTTTTTTTCCATTTAAAAATGTTTCAATGACTGTATAAAAACCCTCTCACAATATAAAGCACATAGAAACTAGCAAAAGTTTGAGCAAGTTTGAGTCATTATAGCTGCAACAGAAATATCATGTTTGGCTGGACACCATGCATTTCTTTGTAATTTTGCAGGCATGGTTTGAATGCTAGAGTGCACACCAAAAAAGCGTGAAACAATTCTTAACTATCAACATCTAATAAGATTTAGTTATCAACTAACTAAGAATTCACTGGGGCATGAACACAATGCCAGAAAGGAAACTTGTCTTTGTTTATGCCTCACTAAATTCTTAGTTGATAACTAAATCTTATTAGGCGCTAATTACTTAAGAATTGTTTCATGCTTATGTGGCGTACACTCTAACATGATTTCACATGATAGGGTAATTTTTTCTTGARCCATAATTTAATCAGATTTTAAAGGTTTTTTCGTTTTGGTTACTGGTCCACAATGCAACACAAGCTATAAGTGGCATTTACATCATGCATATAATTGCTTATATTTAAGGAATAAAAGACGAAATTCCGTGTTTGATACTCTGATCAAAACACGCGGGATGTAGGGAGAGCACGAGAGAAGCGTAGGAAACCACGACGCGTAGCGGAGTGGTTTCCAGCTTTTCGAGTGCTCTCCCTACATCCCAAGTGTTTTGATCAGAGTATCAAACACGGAATTTCGTCTTTTATTTCTTTTCTAAAATTAAAAGAATACGAAAATTGTAAAAAATTCTGACTTTTGATACGATATGAAACGAGCGTGTTTTGATACTGTAATCAAACATGGTTTTCGACCAATCACAGCGCGCGTAGTATCCTAAATATTTTAGAAATATGTATCATAGTTGACACTATCAAAAATCTGTTTGCACAAATGCRTATATTTACTTGTTCTTAAAGCCTATGTAAAACTAATATTCCATGAAATAATAMATTTACATGTTCACCTATTTGTATAAAAAGTATGACTTAAATAAATGGTGTATTCTAGAGCTATATTTCTGAAGAATATATTGTTTTTAATACATTATTTTAATATAATTATGGAATATATGACATTAAGTTGCAGTGTATTTTGATATAATGGTCCTGGTTGATAACTGTTACTTAATATAATGACTGGCATCATGGCATGGACAACACAATGGAAGTAACAAAACTGCCTATTATTAACGCTAATAAAACATTAAAAGTTTTTTTTTACATCTCTAGAACAATCTAGTTCTAATTTTTCTTAGAAAAAAACCACTGTATTCAGGTGCCACTTTTAACCCAATTAAGTTGATCTAGTTGTTTTGTTTGCATGTCAAACTCGTAATACTGTTTGAATATTAGGCTTTAGTTAGTTGATAACTTGAATGTACTAAATAGTAAGTAGTTGTTTTATGGATATAAGGTACCTACACTCTACAAGTAATGTCTTTATAGTGAGGAAAACTCAAATACCTACAATGAATAACATAAGCATCTATTCCTTTTCTTCTTTACAAAACATTTTAAGATTAAAAAGGCTGCAAATTTTCTAACCAAAAAAGCAAACACATGAATCATCATCTGTCACTTATTCTTTGCTGGCAGTGATCTGGGCATGGAGTCTGTTGCAGCATATTCTTGAAGATTGGTAATTTAAGTTAAGTGCATGTTGAATAACTTCATATGTTTGCTTTCCTGATTGCTTGTTCAATAGTCTCCTTCACGGTTACTTGCGCCATCTTGAAAGGTAGCCGTGCCTTCAAAGCTTTTATCGATCAACTTTTTATTATTATTATTATTATAGCTTCTAAGTGTCTGCAGTAAATGGCTACCCGCTGTTGCGGCTTCCCAGTCACCTTGTGACAAAGCAAATAAAATAAAATAAAAGTGAGACAACCATTGAGCTTGCAATGATAGAAACCTGTGATTAATTATCTGTAGGTGCAAAAGAAGGTCTCTTTCATTGCATGCTCAATGGTCATCTCGCTTCAATGCAAAGGCATGGCTACCTTTCAACATGGCGCAGGTAACCGTGAAGGAGACTATTGAGTTAAACTGGGTGCCATTTTAAATTTCAAATCAAGAAGATGCTCTCTAAAGACTTTATGCCCATGGGTATAATATTTCTGAGAGCAAACAAAAAGTGACAGAAGATTATTCCTGGGTTTCTGTGGATAAGAAAACCATATTAAGCCTCACTTCCTTGGCTCTCCAACACATGGTATACTGGCTGGTCATCAGGAATCGTTCTTGATGTACGATCCAATGGTTGATAAACATTATCTTGGCCATTTATCTGTAGGGGCTGGTATGTTAGCTCAGATGATGGGCCTTCAGGAGCTTCATACACTGGTTCATTTTTGGTGCCCTGCCTTTTCTTAAAGTCAATTGTTGATGCATAGCCAACATTATCATGAGATGAAGGATGTCCCCTAGCTGTCTCTACTGGGGCATTATCATAGTTGTCATCTGGGTCCTCTAGGACATTATAYTCTGGATCATCCTGCSCATCAGGATCTTCCAGTACATTRTACTCAGGCTCATCCTCACCYTCTKGATTAGGGCCCTCAAGGACATTATACACAGGCTCATTATTTTGAGGGGCCGGTTTAGAAGGGGGCCTTTTGTTCTTATCAATATGGGACCCTGGTTCTAAGTAGTCATCATTGTTGTCACTGGGTCTTTCAAGGACATTGTATGTTGGATCTGTAGGACCATTACGAGCTGGTTTGAATGGTGCCCTTTCTACTTTGTTGTATTCATTTGTCTCCTGTCTTTCCAGAGGAGTATAAACTATGGAAGGAAACAGTACAATCATGAAAACCATGGGATATTTCTTACAAAGTCAATCAATAAAGGAGACTGGTTTCTTTTATTATGTTTCCCAGGAAAATAGGTAAGCAAAAGATTATGTACAGGTCCAGGCCACTCATTTTCAAGTTATGTCACAGCAGCCATCTTGGAGGAACTTCAACAAAGGATTTCTCATTAGTATCTATTGTTCATTCCTCAAAAATGGCTGCTGTTTATCTTTTGAATATGATGGGATAATCAGCACAAAAGTTAATAAACTTGTCCAATAGTCTCCTTTGCGGTTACCTGAGCCATGTTGAAAGGTAGCTGTGCCTTTACATCGAATCGAGACAACCGTTGAGCATGCAATGATAGATACCTGTGAATAATTGTCTGTGGGTGTGAAAGAATGTATCTTCTATCATTGCACGCTCAACGGTCGTCTCGCTTCAATGCAAAGGCATGGCTACCTTTCAAGATGGCGCAGGTAACCGTGAAGGAGACTATTGCGGAGAAAAGTAGATGAATATCATGAGAGTTTTAACTAAAGCATAGTTTACTATGACTAAAGCTAACCTGATTCTCTGTTAGGATCTTTGATCAAACTCTGATATATTCCTGGCGCTGCACCATTAGAGGCACGAGGGTCACCATCTGCAGCTGCATAATCATACTCCAATTCATTACCTGTATATTATGAATGATAATAAATATAAATAATGAAAATGGCTAAGGTGTCTTGGGGTACTTTTGAATAAAATGAAACATGAATGTAGAAATTTACCTGTGATATTTGGAACTTGCTTTCGTTTTGATAAATCAATTGTTTCATTTTTACCATATGTGGGGTTATCTAATAAAGTTATAATACAAAATTATCATTATTAAATGTTTAATGCAATTGAATTGTGCTTTGTTTTGGGATCAGTGAAAAATACACAAGACAACAAGATGACCATGCAGTTCCTAATGCAGACATTTGGCTTCCATAAGTGATGTCACTCAGGGTCAGTTAGAGAAAGTGAATGGGAGATGGTCTGTTATGAGAGGTAACACCTGCAACATTTCTAAAACGTTAGCCCTGAACCTGCAGTAGCTGCAGTGGCTATAGTAGGTAGAAGATCTGGTCGCTTACAAGGGAGATGGTCACCTAAGGCCGATTTAGACAGCACAACTTTTGTTTACAACCATCACGTACAACCTGTGTAAGACATCATTACTACATGGCTACAACTGTTGTAGGGCTATATTAAGCAATTGTTTTTAATTCCATGTTGTAAGGATGTCTGTATGCAGGTTGCAAGGAAAACAATATGGCGTCTAATTTGGCCTTTAGAAAAATGGTCCTTCAAAGAGAGTTTATAATTATAATAGTTTTATAATTTGATAATAATCTGCAGTGGAGAGGGCATTGAACCAATACATTATAGACAATTTTCTTGCCTTTACTGAATTCATACTCCTAGCCTTATACATAACTTACCATTTCCTGCTTTACTACTTTTTCTGCAGATGTTTGAAGGCAAGAAAATTATAGGGTTTAGTGAGCATATTAATTCAAAACAACAAGCAAACTATTATTTATTGCAATATTTTTCATCAAGCATAACTTCATGGACCAGAATGTTTTTTATTCAAATGCACACAAAGCCACAATACAAACTTCTTTTAATTAGTCGTCCATGTTAAGGCTTATACAGTAATCTTCCAATTGGTAACTTGCAAATGTTGCCTTGTAGTCATACACAAAGGAATCAGGACGATTGACTGAGCTTAACGCATGGCACCTCATCTGGCTACTTTTGTGCTGTTACACATTGTCTTCATGTATAATTTCTGTATAGAAAAAATATTTACCTTGTATTTTCTCTTTTTCTTCTTCTCCAAAAGAAAATAAGTATGATTGCAATGACAATAACAAGTATGCCAGCTACAGTTCCCACAATAGCTTCTACAGGTGCACCTGATTGCTGTTGAATTTAAATAACAAATATAGATTGATTATCGACATATGTAACTTTACAATACAGGTATCAAGTAAAATGATTATATTAAGGCCCATTTTCACAAATGCAATATAAGAGAATGAAATAAGGAAAGAAAAGAAAGCAACAATATTATACTTTTAATATCTTGTACGACAACACTCAATTTCACCATTTTCAGTGCCATTAATAGCTCTGGTTGGAGACAAATGAGTCTTTAATTTGATTCGTTCAAAAATTCCCCATGTTCCATCAGTATGAATAATTATATTGTATGACCCAGATTCTGGGTCTTCTGGTTTGTCTTCAACCAGAGAATTCAATTTTTAATTAGGAAACTGAGAAGCCTGGTATGGGTTAGTGAATATGTCTTTGTTAATGGTCTTCACAGTTCCCCAGCAAAGCCATCTTGATATTGAAGCCAGATGACTGCCTGTTCCGAAATTCAAAAAGGGACTGGTAACTAGTCACAAACTCGATACGGTTTGAAGCAATTAAAAAACAGACACCAGGACAAGAAAGAGCATACTACAGTAAAATTAGTATAGTTGCTGGGTTTGAGAGTATTTGGATTAATAATTACAGATCAGAGTTTCAAGTGTTTAAAACTCGAAAAAATTACAAAGAATGTATGGAGGTTTTGAGCAGCTTCCCCAAAAACCATACATTCTCTCTTATTTTTACAAATTTGAAAAAAATTCCTACTCGGTGAGTATTCAACCAAATATGCTCAAACTTGACAAGAACCCTTATTTTAATGTCTTTCATGTGGTGAGGTTCAGTTTTCGACGTATGTAAAATTTTCACACTCGTTCTCAGTCTCCTTTTGAATTACGGAATGGCATATTGGAAGCATTTTATAAAGCGGAGAAGATAAAAGACTGTGTTTACAGCCTGTCTTGTGACTATCATAGTGGTAGACCAGCTTGCTGATGATCAATTCTTTCATAACATTAATACTGTTCAATTCTTCGACTACTACCGGTACAAACACTCAAACTGTTGTTACTTAATCGTTAGGTATTGTGATAATGGGGATATCTTATTATTAAACTTTTTGTTTGACTGTTCAAGCTTAATACAATGATGCAGAAGTCACACTAAATATTATGCTGATAATATACGATCTCATTATTTAAGATTTGTTTATGGTATACCAACACGATTTCTAATTAAGCAAAAGTGGGAAGCTATAAGTGTTTATCATCAAATCCGTCACATACATGAATTACTTTGTAAAGCTGAAAACTCAGCCTCAGACCAGCAAACTTATCAAAGAAATGACAAAAGTACAAGTTTCATAGATATACTGAAATTTAACTAATGTATAAATGATTTAGTAGTAGATATCAAGCAGAACCCCGAGTTCACGCAGCGATATTGCGTCTAGTTAATATTTTTAGATTGAGACTGTGAAATTTACAAAACCCACAAAAATTTTCTAGCATGTTTGACTTGACAAGAAATAGAGTCATGTACAGTGTACTGTACCTCATCCTTTTGTCCTTTGTTGTCTGCTGGGTTTGACGGCTTAGTTGGTATTGCTGATGAAGTGACGGGAATAAAAGTTGGAGTAGTAGTAAATACAACTACATGTCGTGTACTTGAAAGTTGTGGTGTAGCCACAGAGGTCATCACCAAAGTACTGGCACGTGTTGATGTTACATGCCGAGTTTTGGTTGGAGTAACTGATAGTAGTAAAGACAAGATAAAATGACATATGTTTTGAAAAAATCAACATTCACATGGTTTTGACAATAAATAATTATAAATATTATTAAAATTTCGATCTTTTTTATATAGCTATCTTTATTGTTCACTTCCAAAAATGCATTCATTATAAAACAAGACTGTAAAAAAAAAAATTAAAACAAATATCCACAGGAAAAATAAGAATATTAAGTATATTTCAGTAAAAAAAAGAATAGAAGGAAAGAAAAAAGAATTGCTTAGAAGCGATCGAGTCGAGAATCAAACCTGCGATTCTAAAAAAAATCAAAATAACGACTCGAAAATAACTGTTAAATGAATATCTACAAAAAATATCAAAATGACTATAACAACTTCATTTCAGTTAAAAAGAAAGGGAGAAAGAAAGGGAGAAAGAAAGAAAGAAAGAAAATGAGTCGAGAATTAAGGCAGCGATCCTAAATTAAAGTTCGACACTGTTCGAGTATAATATTCTATGTAAAATCAAAATAATGGCTCAAAAATTATTGTTAAACAAAATCTACAGGAAATCATAGATGACTATAGCAACTATATTATATTTAAAAAGAAAGAAAGAAAAAAAAGGTGCTTGAAACGTGATTCGAACCCATAAACAGTGGTGTCGAACAGAGGATTATTAATCCTCTGTTCGACACCACTGTCCGAGTATCATCTTGTTTCTAAAATTTAACAAATTTGCTACAATAAAAATCAAACATGACTAGCTATATTTCAGTTAAAAAAAGAAAGAAAAAAAGAAAGAATTTTTCAGACATGCTCGAGTCTAGGATTGAACCATGGAACTCTCGATTATGGGTCCCTTGGGATTGCTAATCTGTGACATAAAAAATAAAAATTAACAAAACAAGGTTGCTGCATTTTATAACTGGGCCGCAGGCCATGATGACACCTAGTTGATATAAATTTCTAAAATATTTAGGATACTACAAAAATTTCTTTTTTCCCGCCGTTTGCATTTGTTGTTGTTATCATTCATTTTCAAGAACAATGAACAAAGAAAATGCCTATTTATGATGTCCTCTGGGATGATATCCCAGAAGAAGAGCTATCAAACATTTTAGAAGCTACAGAAGCTGCAGACAACTGCAATGTAAGGAGAATTCATCGTTTCATATCGTATCAAAAGTCAGAATTCTTTACAATTTTCGTATTGTTTTAATTTTAGAAAAGAAATAAAAGACGAAATTCCGTGTTTGATACTCTGATCAAAACGCTTGGGATGTAGGGAGAGCACTCGAAAAGCTGGAAACCAGCTCCCTACATCCCGCGTGTATCAAACATTGGAATTTCGTCTTTTATTCCTTAAATAAATATTTATTACAAATATAAAGATCTAGTAGATTTCAGTACTGGGTAAAAGTTAATCATGACAAAAATTATTCTACCTGATTGTAATGAAGCCCATGACAATGCTGAAGTAGAATATGCTGTTGTTGCATCAGTTTTAATGGACGATGCAGTTGAGGATTTAACTGCAGTTGTAGAAGTGAAAACTGAAAAATTAAAGAAATGCTGTAAAAATATAAAATCAAATATATAAATACATCCTAATTACGAAAACGTTGTCCTGAGATTTAGGGATTTAGGCATTAGGAATACATTAAAAGACAAAACATGACCACTGAAGCCGAACACTTTCTTTTGTATTTTAATTAATTCTTAAATAGTACAAGTTCTTTTTTCTTGGACAACGTTTGTGTAATTAGGTGTATATTTTAAATAATCATTAATATATCAATTTTCCACAGCATTCTAGCCAGGAATCTTTAGTGTAAAATAATTCATGATGGCTATGGTTGGAGATGGGGATGTAGAATAGCTGTTTTAGCCAGGCTGATTACCAATGTTCGAGGTATATAGATATACGATCTTTAAAACAGTCGCTCAAAAATGTTTTCATGAACGCCATCTGGTAATATGGTTATTCCCTACATTGCCTACGATAAATTTAAACTCTTGAAACCATTTTTAAGGGACTCCTTCAAAGTTCGTATAATTATGAGGCCTCCCTTGACATCACTTCATTAGCATTTTCAATTTTCAAATGCCTTTAACTCAGAAAATAGAATTCAGACAAACAACTTTTTTTTTCTTCAAAACAATGACACTATAACCATCATACATGTATTTGCTTTTTCTTAAAAATGATTTGATCTAAAAGGGTTCGTGTGCACTTTAGAACTTACTAGTTACTGTTCCTTTTGATTTAAAAAAAATACAGGGATTCATTTTCACTGCATTAGTTCTAAGAGTGAATTTGCAGTTTTTAGTTTGAAGTCTGATTATTCTACCATGCAGACTGCCTCTTTGTGACATCATAGTCTTGTTCCATGATAATCCCTAAAGATCAATAGACATGGACAGTGGTGAAATAGGCCTTTTGCATGAAACGGTCACATGGTACAAAATCCGCCATACTGGATGGCAAACAACCTCAACGCAGCCCGTCAAGCTTGACTTTTCTTTGTTTTGAAAATCCCAGTGGGTATTTTGCCATCCAGTATGGCGGATTTTGTACCATGTGACCGTTTCATGCAAAAGGCCTATTGTTAAAGGAGAACTCCACTTTAACTTAACCCTATAGTTATTTGATTAATCGAAGTTCCTTCTCAAAGATTACCAAGGGATTTTGGCACATCTTCAACAACAAGAGAGAAATATGCCTTGAAACTATAGAAAATTACCAACATGAATGCTGCCATCTTTGCAGTCTCATACGACATCAGCTCATACAGGTATATCAGCGGCGACTACCATGGTGACGTAGTTGCGCGACATAGGGTGCAAAATTAAGTTCAAAACAAAGTGTTTCGTAGTTTAGATCTAGTTTAGTACTTTAAAAGAACTTTTGACAAGAAAAATACCACACTGCATGGTACTAGGATGCAATATTGGATCGAAAAAGATAAAAGGGACAGGAATTCATACTTAAATTAAAACAATATATTTCCCCTTTGATAAGTGAAAAGTTCTTTGTTACCATGGTAGTTGCCGCTGATATATGAGCCTGCCAAGATGGAGACATTCACGTCTGTAATTTTCTCTAGTTTCAAGGCATATTTCTTTCTTGTTGTTGAGGCTGCGCCATAGGCCGCCCAACTATTGCTTTAGAGACAAAAAAGAACAAATGTGCACGCTTTTATTATGACTGTATCGACGTCTGTGTAATATTGTTATCGCTGCGCGCTCTTGGCAAATGCAGATTACCTGTGGTATTACGTCACGATCCCGTGCCTCGCGGGATACAAACTAGTCTGTGACAAGGTATTAAACAATGGTCACGTAATGGATCGATGTATACCCCAGCATCCATGTCTATCCCTCCCTATCGTTTTTTTCCGTACAGACTTCGAGACCTTTTGTAAATGGTCGCAACGCTCGAGGTTTTTCTGATAATTGACCGATAATAATATCGCTCCTCGTCGCTTCGTCTCTGCCATGAAACCTGCATGTCAATCTTTCACAGATTTTATTGCTGGTTTCCTTGTAGTTTTTGTTGGAAAGCTCCATGTCAGTATTTTGGAAATTGAATACTTCATGCAAAAGACTGGACAGTGCCCTGTGAACCATTAGTTTAGAGAAAAACATTTTAGTCAAGACTCTTTTAGTCACTTTGAAAACCGAAGCAGATAGACATCGTGGATTTTTACAGGTTTTAGAGTTATGCCAAAGAAACAAGCTGATGGAGTGATTAGTCGAAAAAGAGATAAGTTTATATCTTCAATGATAGTTTTAGCCAGGCACTTCAGATTATATGAAATCTATAAGTGAGCTTACTGATATTTTTTGTTAATGTAAACCAATGGCAAAGTTTGGGATTTCTCCAAGCCGGTGAACTCAAGTAATCGGTGAGCAGTAAGCTTACGTTCTATCGTTTGGTTTAGCTTTTTATCTCATTCATCAGAAAGAATTCAATCTATTTTTATAGTGAAAAATGCTGTTTAGTAATTTAGATGCTTGAAAACTCGTGGTAAAATGCCGAATTGTTGGCACTCAACCAAACATCATGAAACATCAAGATTGCATGTACAACTTCTGATATTTACTGTTGTTCAAAATACTGTACATTGAAAGACTAGTTTGTATCCCGCGAGGCACGGAATCATGACGTAATACCACAGGTAATCCACATATGCTAAGAGCGTGCGCCGATAACATATGTACAGTCATAATAAAAGCGTGCGCATTTGTTCTTTTTTGTCTCTAAAGCAATAGTTGGGCGGCCTATGGCTGTGCCAAAGTCCCTTGCTGATCTTTGAGAAGGAACCTCAATTAATCAAATAACTATAGGGGTTAAGGTAAAGTAGAGTTCTCCTTTACAGCAGACATTGTTGCATCGCGACCTCTTTGCTTTGAAGTTTGTCTGGATTTTGTTCTTTCTTTCAATCTGAGGGGCGGAGCTTTTCAAAAACTCGTTCAATCATTGGCTGATTAGCATCAAGCTCCGCCCMCAAGTCGCAGAAAAACCTAAATCCCAACTATTTCCTTTGAACATTGAAGTCACGATGCAACGGTTTCTGCTGTAAGGAACAGGGTGGCCCTTTTTGCGGTTAAAACAAAATCTGCCAGTCTAAAGTGTCCATCAACATGAGCTATTGGTCAAGATTTGTTTCTTCGCTGTCCAGACTGTGCAAATGAAAGGAGACTGGATCTAGTCTTTCAGGGACTGACTTCTAAGACAATAGCAGACTTATAGTCTTGTTCCAGGGTTTTACATAGACAGGTGCATTTTCTGGAGCCAGAATTTATTGCAGCTATTTTAAATAATACCTTGTTGTTGGTATCAATGGCAAATACATCAGAGAATCCATACTGCATCAAGATTCCATTGTCTCCAATAATATACTGAACATTATCCACAGAGCACTTCATTCCATTCTTATTTCTTATACTCTTGATTTGGTTACCAAAACTACCTGCGGAGTTCTGGTCCAAATCAAATACTAGTATACTATTTGTTATTATGTTGTATGTATTTTGGCAGCCTGAGAAATAGAAAAAAAAATTAAGTCTTGATGGGCATACATGTACACAAGAAAATTGCTGTGACAGTCAAGAGGGTAGTCCCTGCAACTATGTGTTCATATGAGAAAATTGTCTTCAAATTCTTGTCCTCCCTAAAGAAGTCCCTGGTACTCATTCGTTTATTTAGATGATCAGGCACTATAAGCTTAACAATGCGATTATCAAAGTTTGAAGTGGAAATAGACAGCTTTAATAATACTAACAGCAGTATCAAGTAACAAGGATTGAAAAATTATTGGTTGCTTACCAAAATTCGTTTTAATGAAAGAGTTTTGAACACAGGAGTTGTTGAAGGAGATAAACGTGGTTTTGCCAGAAGGACATTCGCACCCTGAATTCCCATGAGCGAATGCACCATACATGGTATCGCAGTTCGTACCCGGAGTAAGTACAGGTCCAAATTTGTCGCCACCAGATTCACGTTTGACATAAGTGATTTGACTGACAACACTGCAAATGCTCCCACAAAAAAACAGAAATGAGAAGAAATAGTAGTCAATCGACCATTTTGATAGCCTCATGTTCAGCACGATGTTGTCGGTGTAGCAGTGAAGATCGTCACGTCACAAAATTTCAAGAAAAACGCCTTCATTTGGACGTCGTGATTTCCAAGAAGCCATATCAACTGTTTTAGTTAATATATTTATAAATCATCTCCAGTAAAAAGGCATAGACGACAGTTAGTGTTGTTTTCCGGGTGAAAATATGTCAGGAGTTTTGTAAATATTTATCACGTGACTTTCGCTTTATGTGACAGGGATTGGGGAGAGTCTGGCACGTGATGAGAAAAATGCGGGAAATGTAAAAAAATCAATGTATTTAAAAAAAAAACTTAATTTAAAAAAAACAAAAAACAAAAAAACAAAAGAAAAGATACGCGTAAAGGAAATTTTATTTATTGGCTATTTATTGCAACGTCTTTTTTTATTTCCCGGCCAAATTCAATTTTCGCCTATTTTTTTATGCAGTTTCAGCTAATAGACTCTTTATAGCCGACAAGCTAAAAGCCAGAGCGGAAACTGATAGTTTCGAAACCTATATATCGAATATGAATCATAGAAGTGAAACTATTTATTTATTCAGTTACAGGATGATAAGGCTAAGACTAGTCTTAGTTGTTGATATTCGACATATAAAAAGTACTGATCTTTAAACCATTATGTACGTTTGATTTGAATATAAATAATCCACGAGCTGCCGACATTTCCATTGAATACATTCTCCTTTCCTTTCTTTCGAACACTATCTTCTACTAGATAATCATAATCAAACAAATAGCAAAAAATCTTTATTGCAGAAATGCATCACAGATTTTAACAGCCAATGAGAGAGAGGGGTTGCCTGATTCAGTCGTAGTTTTGATAGTTTTTCAGTTTCGCAACTTTTTTTACTTTTGCGCTTATATACAAGAGTGTTCAATCACTCTTGAAGCTTGATCCAAAGGCTGATACATGCCGTCATCAGGTGACTTTATATCTAGGTGCTGGTAGGTAGACTCAGATAAAGGACCAGATGGTGCTTCATATGTAGGGTCATCTTTTGTCCTTAGTACTGGCATCATTTCAAAAGTAGATTCGTAGCCATCACTATCAAGGCGATAGTGCCCCATGTGTCCCATATCACTCTCTGGGGCGCTATCATTATCATCATTAGGGCCCTCAAGGACGTTATAAACAGGCTCATTAATTGGGAGGTCCCTGTTTGACGTAGGCTCTTTTGCACAAATCTGCACCCCTGGTTCTAGATAATCGTCATTGCTCTCATCGGGTCTTTGAAGAACATTGTAAAGTGGGTCTGTAGGACGAGCTGGTTTGAACAATGGACGTTCTATTTTATTGTATTCACTTGGCTGGTCTGATACAATGATGTTCTCTCTGTTCAACGGAGTATAAACTAGGATAGAATAGAAAGGAATCATGCTAAAAGAAGGATATATTGAACTAGAAATGAATGCAGCGTGGAAAGGAGAAAGAATGGGAAAAGGAAGAAAAAGGATGGAAGGAAGGGAAGAAAAAAGAAGAAGGAGAAAAGACCTTCATAACTTGTTATTACGTGTMTGTGAAGAAACTCATTGACAACTTCCACGCTAACCTGAGGCTTGCTGTGAGTCAGGCATTAAACTTTGGTATACTCCGTTTCCTTTGCTGTGATTGGATTTTAGGTAACCAGGGGAACGAGGATCGCCGTCCATTGCAGCGTAATCATACTCAAATTCATCTTCTATGAAG